ACCGTCAACTGCGAGTTCATCGCCGCCCCCGCGCCCGACGCCGTCAAGTATTTGTCCTTTTTATTGCCGGTCTATAAAACAATCTCTCGCTTCCATAAAGGTATTAAACCTCTACTTTATATTACTTATTGTTTGTAATAATTGATTGTATTACTAGTATCATGCTTTTTTATACATATAGACCCACCATAATTTAAATCATAACTCGCCTTTACAATAGAACATCTCTATACAAAATCTCATGATTTTTTAATGGGATCCCTTAGAAAACTATTTTGTATTCATATCCTGTATATACAGTATAAATAATGTTATTAACTTAGATAACAAAACCTTTTTTACGGTTACCTTGTTTATAATGCATTATAGATACCATACAATATATTTTTTAAATACTAGTAGTGTATGAATAGTATAAAAATTGTGTGCAATTGTAATTCAGATATATTAATAATATAATTTCTACTATAGCTCATCCCAAATAAGCAGATGACTTTTGAACGCATTTATGTGGATTCAATAAAAACAAATAAAAAGACAAATTAATAATAATTATTTTATTAAATTTTATAATTTTTTAAATATTTAATAAAATTAATATTATTCCTGAAACACAAATTGCAATTTATTTAACATTATTTTGTAATTGTAATAATTTATTACAAATAATTTATTTGTAAATTACGATTTGTTTAATTTATATTTTGCATTATTATTTTAAAGAAGTTGTAAATTAATTGAATTGGAATTGTATGTACGAGTTAGACTTGTGTTGGGGTTTGTAATGTTTACCATGTAATTGTTTTGCTTTAACAAACATTTACAAACATTTACTTTAACAAACATTTCGAACAAGTGTCATAGACCCCATTTCAACATTAAGTGTGTATTTGTTAAATCTATTCACCCCCTCCCCCACTCCAACTAATACTATGGAAAATTTTAACCAGATAATTAAAAAGGAGAAACAAAGAATATATTGTTGATTGTATTATTTAATTAAATCTTATAATATCTATTTAAATATTAATTCAATAAAACTAATGGTTTAAAAATAAAATTACTATTTATATTAAATTATTACAAATCACTCATTTAAATACATAATTAAAGTAAATTCTAAGTGTTGTTTAATTTAAATCTTGCATTATATTAAAGAATTTGTAAAGTAATAAAAAATGACAATTGAAATTTTAAAATAGTGTTACAATTTAATAAAAATAGTAAAACACTCATGCTTATGGTTTTCGAGCTCAGGTCAGGTTTCAATCACTTTATGTAAAAATTTATACGTTAATTCATTTCAATAATTTATTGACAATAAATAATATATTTTCTTTACTTGTTTCATTTTTAGATATAATAAATTACATGTTGCCTGATAGAAGTTCCACTTTTGAACAACCAATAGTATATTACTTGTTAATCATTAATTTTTAATCACAAGTATTTTATTTTGAAAGTATTTATTGTGTGATTAAAACAAATTATTGTAAATAATTTAAATAATCAAAAGATTAGTTGTTATAACAGTGATATTTATTGACTAAAATACTAAATGAAAAGTTTTATCTTATGTAAAATGAATTAATACATATTAATTTTATTAAGTTCTTATATTTAATTTATTGTTATTTATTATATAATTATAATTAAAATTATCAAATAAAAGGTATTTATGTTTTTATTAAATATTAATAATTATAAATAAATTATTATTTTTTATTATGATAAATAAAATTGTTATATAAAAGTCACTAAAATTTTATAATTAAAGTTTAATTACAAGAATATAGTTATAATCCAGTATAGATTATTATTGAGTTATTATATAAAGTTTATAAAGTTTACATTATAATCTAGTTATTATCTTAATCATTAATAATATAAATTGCTGCTAATTATTTACATAAGTTGAGTCAGCAGCTGATCCATGCGTCCATCAATCCCAATATCCATAGTATGACCGACGAGTCGCCGACGCTTTGCGCCCGTTCTATACCAATGGACTGCGGAAGTGGTGGCGGCGGCAGCGGTGGTGGTGTCCCTCCCCAGCGACGGGTGTCTAAAGAGAACCTCCGGTCGCCGACCGACGAACCGCTTGACCCGCAACTGTTCGTCGCGTTATACGAGTTTCATAGCGGAGGAGAACATCAATTATCTCTACAAAAAGGGGAACAGTTCCGAGTCTTGGCGTACAACCGGTCGGGCGAGTGGTGCGAAGCGCAGTCACGTGGCGGCCAAGTGGGTTGGGTGCCCAGCAATTACATCGCGTCGGTGAACAATCTGGAGCAGTACAGCTGGTACCATGGGCCAATATCCAGGAATGAGGCCGAATATCTGCTAAGCTCCGGCACCGACGGCTCGTTTCTGGTGCGCGAGAGTGAGTCGAGTCCCGGCCAACGGTCCGTAGCCGTGCGATACGAGCGACGCCTCTATCACTACCGGATCAGCGAAGACACCGACGCCAAAGTGTACGTGTCATCCGAGCGCCGGTTAAACACATTGGCCAAACTCGTCGACCACCACAGTATGCACGCCGACGGACTCATTGTGATCCTCTTATACCCGGCGCCCAAACCCAATGAGTCCCGAACCCAAAGAGTGGCAGATCAGGACTGCGACACTATTATTAAACTAGCTATTAATGATTTTGTGAATTTAATTATTGTATAAGTTACTATACAATTATTAATGAGATATAATTGTAAAGTAATAAAAAATGACAATTCATATTCTAAAATAGTGTTACAATTTAATAAATATAGTAAAACACTCAAGCTCGTTTTTGAGCTCATGTCATACGTCTTTCCAAACTCTTTATGTATATTTAATTCATAAATTAATTTGTTGACAATTGATAATATATTTTCTTTACTTGTTTCATTTTTAGTTTGGAACATTTTTAGTCAAACTAAATTACATGTTGCCTGATATAATTTCCACTTTTAAACAACCAATAGTACATTACTTGTTAATCATTATTTTTTAATCACAAGTATTTTATTTTGCATGTATTCATTGTGTGAGTGAAATAATCAAAGTATTAGTTGTGATATTTATTTGCGTAAATAATAAATGAAAAGGTTTACTTAATGTAAGATAAATTAACAAATATTTATTTTTTTATGTTCTTACATTCAATTTATTGTTAACATTTAATTATTTCGTTATATAATTACTATAATTAAAATAATAAAATGAAAGGTAAAGTTTATTTATGTTTTTATTGAATTTAGAATGTGTCATTATTATAATAAATTTAAAAATAGTTATTTTGTATAAAAAAATAAATTGTAACTTTCTAATTACGGTTTATTTATTAGAATCTAATTGTTTAAGAACCCATTATTACTAAATTATTATCTAGTTATTATTTTAATCATTTGAATTAAAATATAAAACTTCCATTTTTAAAGAATATATTCATAATACAATATAGTTTTCTACATGATATATAGTAGTCGGGTTAATTGTGCTCGCACATCTAGCATTGGCCTATGCGGCCAACCCATTTGCATGTCCCCGACCCGACTATTGGGGCGATTGTATTTGCGATGATATTGACCAGAGTCTAATCTGCTCCAACACCCCTGATGCTCCTCTAAAATTCTGGCCCGATCGAGACGCCAATTGGCCTCAATTCAAGCTCATTGTGCTTGATGGATTCAAAAGAGTGGCGGATATTAGATTAGGCTACAACCCCAAGCTTAAAAGCACCGGGCTTAAACTAACCAATTGCCTGCTGAAAGACTTTGGTTTCATCGCAACAATTCAAACCGACTTAACGAGCGTTGTATTGGATAATGTATTAGGAGAAGACAGTAAACAAATCAAACTGACCAATTTGACCGACATGCTTAAAGTGGGTACATTGACAACGTTCGGGGTGATTAATTCACAGCTGGATGACACACAGATGCCCGATGTGAGCGCGTGGGCTGAATTGAAAACACTTTCTCTCAATGGAAATAAATTCACTAAACTATCTGATAAAATTAAAGGCCTTAAGAAATTGACCACGGTCAATTTGCAAAACAATGCTTTAGCAAATGCAGATGCCGGGGCACTCAGTTTTAATACAGAAAACATATTGACCATTAAACTGGATCAAAATAAAATTAACACAAAATTTATCATCGATGCTAAACTCGAAAATGCCAAAGGACTGGACGTTAATCTAGCTTATAATGTCATTGAAAAATTTACCAAGAACCCTTTCGAAGGTTTTGATAAAGAATTACACAAGATCGATTTTCATCACAATAATATCGTGTGCACGTATGAGGAGTGCTCATGGGCATTTCATGTTCGCACTGCCCCATACGAGCACCTGTTGCACGTCGAGTGCGTCAATATTCATAAAGACCTGTTTGAATTGGATGAGAGAGACCTTCCCGGTTACCCGACCACTCCAACCCCTTATACAGGGCCCACCACAACAGCCCCCACCCCAACAGCCCCCACCACAACAGCTCCCACCACAACAGCCCCTTATACAGGGCCAACCACAACACAATCCACTCGTTAAACCGAGATACAGTATATATCTACCCGTTTTTGTGTATCCTTTATTATAAACGCAATTTTATTAACAAATATTTATTGATATCAATGAATATCATTAAATAATTTTATCTTAAATTCAGAATTAATAAATGATTTGTGAATTTATATCAAAGTTTTAATAAACCACGATATGATTGTACAATAAGTGTTTTGGTATGATTAATAAATAATAGATTACATTTTTATTTTCAATTAATATAAACTTTACATGTATTAAAATTCAATTTCTCTACAATAGCAAAATATATTTACCACAATCATATCAAAATTAGGTGAAATACAGAAATTGTAGTTAGAGGTATGTTCAATAACAACTGATAACATAGCACTTGTAAATTAAAAATAATTCTCATAATATGTGTATTTTGAAAGTATTTAAATGTTTGAATTAGTTATGATTTTAGCTAACTTTAAATATTATTATTCAATTTGATAACTATTTATATATCAAAGTGATTATTAAAAATTTTAGTATTTTTTAAATCGAATTATAATTGATATATCGGACATAAATGAAAGGTAATTATCTTATCATAAATAAGTATTATATAATATTAATGGTCATTATAATTAATTTTACAACAACAACAACAACATCTAATTAGTCTTATTTATATAATAAAAATGTTGTTTACTTTCATTATTAAAAGCTGTTTATATTATTATTAAACTAGCTGCATTAATTGTGCTTGTTCATCTGGCATTGGTGTGTGCGGGGGACGACTGGCTGTGTCCCCGACCAGACCTATGGGGCGATTGTGTTTGCGATGATAATACTAAAAGTCTAGTATGCGTTCAGCCGTTCAAATACTGGCCCAATCAACTGGCTGAATTTCAAACATTTGACTGGATTGAGCTAGATGGATTTGCTAAAGGGGAAATAATATTATTAAAAAGCAACACTAATATTAAAAGCACCGGGCTTAAAATCACTAATTCGATCGTGGACAATTTTGAGTTTATAAACAATTTTAAAGCTGAATTAACAAATGTTGTTTTGGATAACGTTCACAAAGATAATAACAACCTACAGATCGACCTTGGTGATTTAATCGGAAAGATCAATGCCAATATAGTAACAAAGCTAGAGATAGCAAACTCGCACCTAACTGGGTCAGTTACCGGTGGCGGTATTAGTACGCTTACTAAGTTAACTGAGCTATCACTTAATGGAAATCAGCTAATAAACATTGATGGTAAATTAAAAACAATACCAACTCTGACCATGGTCAATTTGGGAAATAACGCTATCGATACGGTGGAGGAAAACGCGCTAGATTTTCCTGATATAATTGGACCCCTAGAACTTAATTTGGACCATAATAAATTAACAGTAGATTCTCTGATTAAATCTGGCCTAAAACACAACAACGTGCTTCGCGTTAACCTAGGTCATAATCTAATCACCGATTTCCCAGAGATACCATTTGCAGCGCTAGACTCACCAAAAAACGAGATTGATTTTTACCAGAATCCTATTACGTGTAAATACGATTCAGTCAAATGGGTATTTAAACATCACTCCCAGGCCTATGAGCACCTGTTACGGGTCGAGTGCGTCAACTATCACAAAGACTTGTTCCGTATGAAGGAGTCTGACTTTATCGACCCCTTGACCACACCGTCACCCACACCCCCATATACGGGACCGCCCACTACGCTACCCACTACCCTCCCACCTCGCACGCCTCCACCGTCTGATGGTAAATTAATTAACATATTTTACATATTAATCTAAATATTGTTAAATATAAAATGTACCATGTATAAATTTGGATATTTAGTTGAAGTGAAAGTGGGAAACCAGTGGTTAAAGATTGAGAGATTTGTGGCCGTATGTAGACAGTGAGGACAACATTCATAACACACCCACCGATTTCTTTATTATTCACCCTGATGATAAAACTTTTAAAGTGATTAAACCCGATGTGCTTCCGAACAGTGAAAATGTTAAATATCCGGTCAAGCTGAGTTTTAAGGTAATATTAAAATAGATTTGAATAAACTTGATTATTATAAAAAATACATAATACAGTATATTATTACATTAAAAATTAATTAATAATTGAATAAATTAAGATAATTAATACAATTATATTTACCATATATTATGGTAGAGATATTGTATAAAAGTTAAAAGTTAACACAATTTAACAATTTATTTGTGTAGTATTGGGCACACAAAGCGATTGCCACCACATATATTGAAAAAGACAAAACGGACACAATTATCGACGAAATATCAAAAGAATATATAAATTTTGATTACTTTTGGTTATATCGGGAGTATATTCTAACCAAATCACAGTTAATATCATATGACTTTTGGACCGCTTTAGACCAATATTCAGTTATTGCGTTGAAAGACATTAAAAGTAATTTATTTAAATTAAATCTAAAGATCTAATCTAAAAATATTTACATACTATAATAGATAGATATATATTTGTTTTGATATACTAACTACAAATATAATTTTATTTATGAAAATTCTAGTTGAATATACGACGTTAGATGTTGATACCGGGTCAGTTCATAATTTTGGCAAATATAATTATATTAATCAGAATACAACAGGTGTATATCACTTCACCCAGGCCGATTTACAAAAAAACGTCAAAACAATCATAGAGAAAAATATTACTCAATGTCAAATTAAAGATAATACCGAATTAAATAAAGAGTGTTCACACGCGAGTATAAAACAAACCACTGATAAAAAGCCTGTTTTTCAAATATTAGTGGATCCACTCAAAGACAATAACGTATGTTTTGAGATCAAGACTAGGTTAATTAAGTCGAGCGCAAAACGCGCCACTATTGATGTTCACTTTAACCAAGGTCCCATTGAATTACCCGCACCGAGCTATGATACGAGCAAAAATAAAATATTCACATTTACACCCATGGTTAAACTTACGGGTGATGAAGTTGAAACTTACAATTTTTGTTTGAGAGATGTGTTAGCTCTTAGCGCCAATAATTTGGTCATTACTCTTGTTGCTAACACTGCCGGCAATGAGACCCTAGCACTTAGTATTGACTATAATTTTAACAAGGACGCATGGAAGTTTGCACCAGTAAAATTTATTAAAACGTCTGCTGATAAGGATGGGTCATTCAAATCATACACTGATTTATTTATATACAAAGATAGCATTTATACCTTTACAGGTAAATCATTTGTTTTATCAATAATTATAATGTTATTTTATAATTGTTATAGCAATGAACATTTCATTCATTTTGTAATTATATTTTATTATAACAAAATTTTTAAATGTCGCATTAAAATTGTAAAATTAATTTTTTTAAAAATTTGTATTAATTTCATAGGAAAACCTGTGACTGAAATCCCGACCACAGCTCATCTGATGGGGCCATGGATTCAATATAACAACAATTTAGGCAATGGTTTGAATGAATATAGCGTTACTGTAAAGCAGGAGAAAGTGTTCAACGCTTTCACAATTAGACCCAAAATATGTACGGATTTATCGCAATGTTTTGATGTCAATGCTATCGGAGTGAAGGCCGACACGAGTGGTCTGACCCGAGTCTATACATTTAATTTCGATGCACTCGAAGACAGAATCACTCGCAATAGAGACACGGATTTTGTAAAACTAGTCTTTTTTGTCGATTACTTTAGACCCGAAAACTTTAAACCCGAAGAAAACATCACATTTGACTTAAAACTATTAAATTTTGGCGATCCTATGTATGCGCGCACTGTTAATGAATGGCTTAAATGCGACAAAACTGGAACCGATTTTACCTATAAATCCAATCCGACCATGGACAATCCCAATTATTGTGTTTGTAATGATGGTTATTATGGCCCTAAGTGTGAACAACAGGCAGCGAAACCGACTGAATTGAAAGTTGATCCGCCAGTAAAAGAGAATTGGGATGAAATGGCATCACCTAAACCAGGCTATATTCCAACCAAGAAAGGAAATCAATTAACGTTTAATTTTAAAAATATCAATACAGATATGTTTGACATTTGTTCCACAATCGAGTATAATGTGAGAAATCCAAGCGCTTTAATGAAACTAACCGTACAATATTCAGAAGGTAGCGCTTCACCCGACACACCGGTCGACACATCCACTTATATCGATGAAGTGCTTAAGAAAACACCGGAAAAGGGAAATGCGTTCACGTTTTGTGTCAGCGATTTACGTATTAAACCACAGAAAACATTCTATATTGTAATAACGGCTGAGTCGACCGCTCCTGATCAAATATACAACGCCGATACCTTGATCATCACTAAATTTACAGCAACTCTAATACCCATAAATCGACCTAGGTTTATACAAAACGTTGACATTAAACATAAACAATACTGGACTCAACAGAAATGGCACACAATGTCTGTCGAGAATAATTTTATTCCTTCAAAGAATAAGACTTCACACCAATTGAAAGGTTTGTTTGACTTTTTCTGAAAAATTAGTGTTAAATTATGTTTTTATTAAAATGCTATTTTTCATATATTTTATTTATTATTTTACAGTCACTGTCCTTAAAACCGAAACACAACCGATAGTATCGTATTTTATTAGCGATTGGATTATAGTTAGTGATGTGAAAGAGTTTAAACCAACCATCTCATTTAAACTTGGAGACAAATACACTAATTTAAAAATTGAACATTCTGTTATGGTTGAGACAAATAAACAAATACCAGCACAATTTCTCGAAATGACTTACGATAAAATGCAAACAACATTCACAGACCAAGAAATCGCTGCAATCATCCCAAACACTGCACAACAGATTAAACTGTTTTTAAAATTCACGTTAACGGCCGACACTAATAAAGACACTTATTTTGATGTGACTATCAATTCCGTGTCGGTGTTTAATCCGTGTCCAACTGATTCGAAAAAAGGTTGTAGCAGTAAAGGAACATGCACATTCACCGACAATGCCAGTATTTTCCAGTGCAAGTGCACCGGTGCTCAAGGTAGAAATTGCGAAAAAAAGTTATGTAAAAATAGTGTAAGTTATAATTTAAAATAAGTAATATGTAATAATAGTAAACAAAATAACCTGTCTTTTATGGTTTGTTTGTATTGATAGAAAATGTGTAACTCATATCCAATGATACCGACGTTGAATGCGAAAAATCCATTTGATAGACCAAATTGTGAGGTAATTAATAGAGGATCGCCACTAACTGATGTGGACACATGTATTTGTCCACAAACACAATTCAGATTTAATGAAGACAAATATGTGTAAGTACCATGATTACTAATGTGAGAAAATACAATTTTGTATCACAAATAATATAATTTGAATAGTTTATATAAATCAAAATATAAATCATTAATATTATGTAATATATTATAAAAGGTGTGAAAGTAAGAAAACTTACAAATATAACAACGAGAAGACCTGTGGAAAGGTTGGAAACGATATAAAATGTGATATATTTGTTGCAACCGCTCCGCAATGGTTTGACACGTATCAGGTTAGCCATGCGGACAAATACTTTCCACTCTACGCACCGAAAGATGTCGCCAAAGAGTTGTCCATTGAATTCAGTAATATTAAAGCCGAAGAAGACGTTTGCTTTACTCTCAACTACTATTCTTCGGGAACGTCGACAATAAGCGTCAGTTCGGCCGAACCGGGAAGCGTTGGACTCGTATTAAGAGCTCTGACAGATGATTCCCAATGGAATCAACAATTTATATGCGGATCATATCTAACCCACGCGTACACTGCAACCAAAGCGGTTACTATTAAAATTAAGGGCAGTGACATTCACGCCGGTATAAACATCGGTCCAGTGCTGGCCATTCGCAACACTTTTATCGACGTACCGGTACTTTCACATTATATCAGGAAAGTCGATAAAACAGCCGTAAAGACTGAGTGGCCGATTGTTATTGGACTTAAGGATAATTGGATATACGACGACTACAAATACAATGACAATGTTAAATTTGCGAGTAATAAATTGAATGCTTAATAATTTTTATAACAATTATTAATTTTGTGACATTTTTTCCATAGTAATAAGTGTAGAGAAACCATCAGAAACCAAATATACGACATATTTAATGAGCCAATGGATGACTGTGAATGGCCTAAACAGTATATTGAGATTACAACTTGATCCCATAACCAGATTAAAAGGCTTTACCATTGAGTTTGTGGTGTTCGATGAAAATATGAAAGAAGTAGTCGACGCTAACCGACCAGTTTACGGCGATAAAACATTTGATACGGTAATTGTGTTGAGTATATTATTTATATATTATATTTAATCAATTATCCTTTTATAACAGACCAAAACAATTATTGATATTATTGGTGGCGACGGTGCCATTGAAGTGAATTTACCCGTAGCTATAGATCAAAAAGTATTCCGCGTGGGTATGAAAGTGGTATATAAAGAGGACAAAATGGCAAAGACCCTGTTCACTGTGAGCCGGATCAGTGTCAACGATCCCTGCGTTACTGTTACTCATAACAAGATAGCAGTAAAGAATTGCGGCCCACAATCAATAGATGGAATGTGTTATCCAATAACTAAAGCTGTGTATAATTGCAAATGTAAACCCGATGGTATGGTTCGATCTGGTGATTGTCCCGCATCTTCATTATCGCGACCATATCGTTGGATATTCGATAAATTCGCTAAAGTTTTATAATATTTATTGTAATCAATTTAGTTTATATTTAATTATGAACTAAACGACACGTTTGAAATTACAATAAAATATATTTTGATCATTAAATTAAAAGTAAACTCTTATTTAAACATTTATTATACTTTGTTATGCTTTAATCGCATTTGATACCAAAATTACATTCTCTCTCTCTCCCCTCACACTACAAAAGACTCATATTATGCACTGCTCTTTTAGCTTGGTCATTCTCACTTGAATTGTACGGGAAATATACGGGCATTAATCGGTTATATATCTCTCTATCCTTTTCCCCAAACAAACAAAACACAACTCTTTCGATATGTATTGAGTGCGGACTCGACTCCAGCCATAGGCGGACAGTCCTGAGGGCCACGTTTGCCGCCTCTTCGTTGGGATAGCCGTAAACACCGGTCGATATACAGGGAAACGCTATGGACTTCAGCTGTCTTTCGCTCATCAGGTCCAGTGCGCTCTGGTATGCGTCGCGTAACTGATCCGGTTGTTGACCCTTCGGTCCCACCGTATGAATTATGTCTATGTTATAATGAACGTGCTTGTTATGTTAAACATTGTACTGCTTAATAACATGTTGTCATTGCACCTACACTTTGCCGGCAGTTTATAGCCGCCGGTGATTTTGCTGGTGCCGGTGGGACAGCTGTTAAGTGTCCGGCACTCCAACCGTAACATGTGTTTACCGGCGGCGTTGTGTATAACGGCGTCCACTGAGTTATATAATAGCCGGGGATGAGAATGAGTGGTGGAATAAATGTACACTAATTATCATGTTATATCAGTATAAATACAAATATTTAGCCATAGGCCCATACACACCCCCTCCACCCCCAGTGAGCTCGTTGTCGGCAGCATTTACAATGGCGTCCACTTCTATGGCTGTGATGTCGCCGACAAATATCGACACCTTTTCGTTCAACTCGTGGTTTACCCGAAACTCTGGCCTTTGAGGTCGTGTTCGGGCGAATTGGCCCCACGTCTGGATGTCAGACAATGTGCTGTAATTGTGGCCACAATTGTATTGTTTCCGTTTGTCACGCAATGACATCGACAGATATCGCGCTAAATGTTGTCAATATTTATTGATATTAAGTTAAATTAATTAATTAGCATTTTTAATCTCACTTTTATCATCATGGTACGATTCTGTGTCGGTGTTTTCCCGTTGTTTGAACCAGCTCATTGCGCTCACTAATTGTAAACAATATAATGGTCGTTTAATTATGAATCTATAATTCATTAATTACTGTACGAAATAAAAACAATAATAATTGTAAACTACTCTCAAATTGTACTCATGTACTGTATACACATTTAGTAAGCATTAGTTTGCAAATAACATGAATGTAATACAAAATTCCAGAACCGTAATAAAATATCACAAATATTATATACTGTACAGTACGTATACTGTTGAAATTTTGAAAACATAAAAGAGTAGTGACAAGGTGTGATTTTTGTGAACTAAAATTTTGCACACAAATGTATTGGAAAAAAATTAGTGGAGGCCATGTAGCCAAACCAGATGTGTTTTTGGGTAGATTTTTTTCCAATACATTTGTGTGCAAAATTTTAGTTCACAAAAATCACACCTTGTCACTACTCTTTTACGTTTTCAAAATTTCAACAGTAGCAACATGAATAATTTATTGCTAATATAATGGCCGTAAATGATAAAACACACCTATAGATTAAAGTCCACTATTAAATTGCATACTATTGTTATTGTAAATAGGTAATTTATGGTGATAACATAGATCTATTACTGCAAAAACATAATTTGATATGCGGATTTCCATAGGATTGTTTGACTAGACAAGTAGCATATATTTAATAAATATAATAATAGTTTCCTGTCTATTGTACAAACACCGAATTATTGCAAATATGCAAATTATTTAAAATTAAGTTATACTATTGGTCATTGCTCATGTCATCATATCTAAACTAGGCAAACTGAGCATTACTGTAAATATACATAAGAATTAGTATTTCAAAACTCAATTATTTGAGCTCAAGTTTTTAGCTATACAGTATTAGTCGTTTGTAATTCAACATGATTCTAATAAGTTAAATATGAATATGATTCTATTAAAAAATACTGGATTTCAGTCAATACATTAATTGATAGTACAGTATAATAAGCTGAATTTTAGAAAAAACACAACTAACCATAACACTCATAATTATTTAATACAGTTTGTTATTTAAACAGCAAAAAAGGTAATTTTGTAAGTAAACTATGTTAACTATTTTCTAACCAACCTTTCAAGTAGAGTACCGTAAATAATGAGTGATAAGCTCTATCACTACACAAACAAAGCGGGTGCTGATGGCATAAAAAGGACCGGGGTCATTCGCAGGAGTGGCAGCGCCAACGGTGCGGGCGGAGCGTTTGGGGCCGGCGTCTACTTCACAGATCTCGACCCCCATTACTATTTTCGCAACGAAATACTGGCCAACAATTACGGCGGAATCGCGGCCTCATTCAAGACTAACAGCGACTACGTGGTGATTGTCAATCGGTCGAGTTTGCAACAGGGTCTATTGACCCAAAACAATGTGGACGACCGGCACATATACTGTTACGCCAATGAAGTGCCGGTGCGACCCAATCAGGTGTTTGATAAGCCCACGTGTCGGTACAGTCCCGTCGATATTTATCACTACACCAGTACTGCCATCGCTGAGACCATTAAACGTGATGGCCGTATACGCCCGACCGATAATGGACAGGGTATTGGTAAGGGTGTGCTACTGACTGAGCTCAATCCCTATGCCAATTACCGTAAGGAAATTCTGGCTAATAATTATGGCAAAGATGTGCCCAAAGAATACGCCAATCGGGCTGATAATGTAGTGGTGGTCGATCGGAGTAAGCTAAACAAAGCCAAATTGAATATGGTGCAAAATATTGGCAACAGAAATCTGTATGTTTATAATGATGAGTAAAGCATTGATTTGAAGTTAAATAACTTTTTCTCCCGAAAGCGGAGAACCTCCTAAAAGTTTGGGGGCACACGATATACCCCTTTGGGGGTATTTTAAGAGAATTTTATTTCACCTTTTTAGCACCTTTTGGGACGTTATCACCTTTAGTAACTTTTTAGTAACTTTTCACCTATTTTGCAA